AGGTCATGTGGTCGTCCATGCCCAACACATCCCAATCCCCAGGAAGTGGCACAGCGCCTTCCCACCACGCAGCAGTTCCTTCGTGAGATGTGGGAGCTTTACGACCAATCCGGCCCATCAAGGCGAAGTGAGCTGAGTTTTCATGTTGGAACCTCAGACTAACTGCGCAATAACGAGAAACAAGGATGGTATTCATAAGAGTAGATCTTGATCGTAGTAATAGTAGCTTAACAATACAACAGTGGTATGACTAATGATTTACAATAGTGATAAGCATTAACAAGAGAAAGAACTACAGTCACGACCAAAGCGGCAGTGGTTATGACAATTTGGTAATATAATGCATCTAACCTGTCACGTCGGTTATCTCAGATATGCATCTATGCCCATGTAATGCAGGTAGTGCAATATATGATACGGTATGCGCAGCACTACCACGTACTAATACTTTTGATTCAGTATATACCTCACAGTAGCAGTCTTCACACGTCCCGGCTTTGAGGGGTGTAGTCGCATACACCAGACTCATGTACAACCATGGAAAGAGTACTCTTCCAGCTCAGCTTGCGAAGAACAGTGACAATGTTGGCTACTGCACCTGTGTGCAGGCCATCCAAAGACTTTGCCAGAGACGAAGTACGATGTGTAGATGCGAAGCTCCACTACGGCATGAAGCAGGCTCGGCATCTCTGAGCTAGATTCGTTCGTACCGAGACGGCTCTGGACTCTAGCGGCATCTGCTGACTTCTTCAGTCCGAAGGTGGACCCGATCAAGAAGATTGTCTTCCACGACAAGCAAGGTCAGCCACGCCTTTTTGAGGATCATGATGCGAACCCCCTGCGTCAGAAGTTTTTCGTGCTCTGGAGCCCCCCCGACGAGTTGGAGCAAACGGACGTGCCGCAAAGGCCTCTTGGTCGCCTGGTTTGGGTCTCGGGCTAAAGCTTGCGCTGATGAGAGGTTTCGAGGTTCTCTTACGTCGCAAGGCAGTGGCATCGGCATCTTCCACCGTTTCCTTTCCTGTTGAGGTCTTGTGTGACACCAAGATTTCATGCCAAGTTGAGACGCACCGAAGCCTGAGAGCCCTCAGCCCTGCCCGTTCCTTTGCGCGAGGGGGCATTTA